GGGGGCCGCAGACGTGGATAATTAATGACGCGATGGGTCCAATTAACTGGCGGCCGGCAAAAATTTGTTGGCGAAGCTCCGATCACGCGTGGCTTTTTGGCCGGCGCGGTGTTTTAATCGCAAATAACTAACAACGCGACTCGAACAGCGAAAGGGAGCGCCGCTATTATACACGGTTCAGAAGGGCCGCTCGCGGTAGTCGCTTTGGGACCAAGTCATGTAATTGAATTCGGTTCACCGAGTCCGGCTCACTGATCGAAACACTACGGCTGGCTAGCTCCGATCTGAAGCATTCGGACTAACGAGAGAATAACGAGCGCAAGTAACGATGGTCGAATGGAATCGAGCCGTCGGCCTCGATCGACGTCGTTGCTTCCAATACAATTGCCAAGATGCGAATAAATGTAAGGGGTGATTCTTGTAAAAGTGTGCCCTCTCTGTTCACACTTATTCTCGTCGAAATGACAAATAATGCCAAGCATTTGTCTGGCTTGTCCGGAAAAGCGCCGACGAAGTCCATTTTTTATCGAGAATCAAAGTGCATAACTTTCAACCATAGACGAATAAGATTTTTCTACGATTTCTAGTGTAAATTGCGACGGTTCTAATTTTTAATTTTGTAAGGGTTGAAAGTGTATAGGTCAAGTATATATATATATGTGGTAAAAATAATCGTTGGACGAAGAGGGATGTTCGATTGAAAAAGAGATCGATCCAACAACAAATCTATAAATATATCCGACGAATCCAGCGATTGCTCCACCAATCTTGAGCTGGCAACATTAATCATTCCGTAAGAATCACCCTATATACATCTCGCGATTTCATTCGTGAATGCTTCTCTCTCTTCACCACTCCACTATATATATATATATATATATATATATATATATACTCCTCCAAGGAATATATTCTTCTATATTCACGTGCCAATTGATCTTTCATTTATCGGGTCATTCGTTCGCCATCCCATCCGCCTATACTCGAACTATAAACGAGGACGTTCGTGCAAAGGGTTAAAACGTTTGCAAAGTGCACGATCCACTATTCGAGGCGGCATACCGCTAACTAAGCTTTCCAATCGCCGAATATTATCGTATTCGCACATTCGCATTCGGCTATCCGTCACAGAGCGTAGCACGAGTCATAAATTTAAATTTACTCCCTTCCGTGACGAGTTTAAAATCCTTCGTCCATTATCGACGACAGGGGTTGCTTATTTGCATGACACTTGTTCCGCGCGGCTTTCACGTTTAATACGGGAAAATGTTGCGGACAGGGTCAACTCGAAAACTCATTTTTCTGATTACCCTTCCATTAATGCGACCTCTCGATCACCCTCCACCATCCTCCCCTCATACGCGAACAACAACAACAACAACAACAACAACAACAGCGCGATATCACATTATACAAGAATTAATCTAATGGTTTTTATCGTTGCTGATGGACGTTGCTCCTTTGATACGCCAGCCCCCGCTTCGTATTTTACGCATCGTGTGACCCGCGTCGACACGAGACCGCGAGGACCGTACCGCTGTTATCGTTGTAAACCCAAAGTGAAAATTTTAATTAACGCATTGAAAGCGCGGACAAGAGAGGGACGGGAGAAAGAGGAGAAGAAGGGAGAAAGAGAGAGAGAGAGAGTATCGGATCGTGGCTTTAATGGTATCCGCAAATGTTACGTGTCAAATTATGAAGCTGTGTTTTCCGAGTTTACCATGCCGTGTTACGGTTGTAACACGGTTATTCCCTCTCCGCTTCGAAATTCGATAAAATCCATACGAGCGATCCGTAGAGGGGTAAAGCTCCCGGGTCTTTTGCGAATGAACGATGCCCAGGAGATGCCTTTGTTCCATTTTCGCGAAACGTGTTTCACATTTTAGCGTCACTCTGCGACCGCCGACAACGTCGACAACGACGAGTCGAAACGAATCGTCGACGATCCCCCTCTCCCCCCTGATTAGCGGGGAGGAGGGGGCGAGATTAAAATTCGCGGCTCGTACGGAATTACGGAGCGCGTTGGGAAAAAACGCGAGAGAAAACGTTTGAGGCTGCGAGAATTTGGAATTTTTGCTGTCTCGAACGTCGTTTGAACGTCGAAACGAGCGTGCCTACCAATTGGCCAGGAAATACGAAGTTCGTAAGAGAATTATACGCGTACGTGACGCGTCTAAGCTTCCATCGCCTTCCGCTTCCGGTATCGACGAGACAACATCCCCCGCAGCCGAGTTACGACGCCTCAGGCGACAGAGAGAGGAAAGAATATCTTATTAGGGTTGG